GCTTCTCAGTCCAAGCCGCTGAGAGGCAGCGACAGTAGAAGCTGCAGCTGCAGAAGACTCTTAAAGGGGCCACAACCACAAGTGGATTTTCACGGTAACGGACCTGCTTGCTCTGAGCACCAGCAGCAGTTCGGCCGTGCGGGGGGATGGCGGGGCACTAGGGACTTACAGGGGGACACCGAGTTCTCATAGTGAAGGCCAGAGGCTAGGGTCTCTCCCAGACAGAAGTGCCCGTGGAATCTATTGTTCCTCTGTTGAGCCATCCCCCCGCCCAGTGTGCTGACCCAGCGCTACCATAGCTGAGATGTCATCAAACTGGATAACAGAGGTTGTTCCACCCAGAGGATTCCCTGAAACTCCCCCTCCCCCAACTCATGGCCCCACCCAAGCCACATCCAGGTGTATCCTCAGCAAGTCAAGTGCCCCCTGCTGAGCAGCACCAAACCCACCACTGGTGGCAGCTGGTCTCGGTTTCTGGTGTGCCCTCTTGAGGCAATTATAAGCACAGCATCTGTGGATTGCTTGCTGAATCTTAACAGTGGCCCCTGAGGGGCACTGGCTGGGGTTAAACTTGGCTGGCAGCTGAACCCCTCTCAGGACTGTGCCACTGGACACCTATTTCACAAAGCCATACTAATAAGGCTAAGAGACTTAGAAGCTTTACTTAGTACATAGAAGCAGACACAGAAAGGCAGCCGAAATGGGAAGACAAAGCAGAAACCATATGAGAGAACAGAACAGAGATCCAGGAATATTGGAGTCAGTCAAGCAATCTAATAGATGCAGAGTTCAAAACACTGGTTATAAAGATGCTCAATGAACTTAGGGGAAGTACAGATGAATTCAGTGAGAACTTTAACAAAGAGATAAAAAAAACATAAAAATAGAAATGGAAATTATAAAATGGAACCAGTCAGAAATGAAGAACACATTATCGGAGATACAGAGTATATTAGTGGAAAAAACAGAGTGGATAAAGATGAGGATCAAATCACTGATACAGAGGATGGAGAAGCCAAGGACAGTCAATCAGAACAGCAAGAAAAAAGAAGCCAAGACTATAATAACAATTTAAGAAGCCTATGGCACACTTATTAAATGCAAAAATATCTGTCATCGGAGTACCTGAAGGAAAACAAGACACCGAAGAGCTATTTGAAGAAATAATGATGGAAAACCTCCCTCACCTGGTGAAGGAAATAGACATACAACTCCAAGAAGCTCAGAGAGTCCCAAGAAAGACGAACTCAAAGAGGCCAACACCAAGGCACGTCATAATTAAAATGCCAAAGATTAAATACAAAGAGAGAATCTTTTTCTTTTTAATTAATTTATTTTTTTATGGTGACATTGGTTAAAGAAATCCAATTAAGTTTCATCTATACACTTTAACAGTAAGGCATATATATATTTACACTGTTCCCCTCCCATAGTGAGATTTCTTTCAGTCACCATATTTGACCCCCTTTACCCTATCTCCCCCATCCTCCCATCTCTACCCTCTGGTAATCACTAGTCTATAGTCCATGTCCATGAGTCTCTGTTTGTTTGTCCTGTTCATTTGTTGCTTTTAGGTTTATATCCCACATATAAGTGATATCATGTGATTTTCAACTTTTTCCGTCTGGTTTATTTCGCTTAGCATGATTATTTCGAGGTCCATCCAGGTTGTCGCAAATGGTAGTATTTCATCTCTTCTTATGGCTGAGTAATATTCCATTGTATATATGTAGCACTGCTTCTTTAGCCAATCATCTATTGTAGGACATTTTGGTTGCTTCCTAGTCCTAGTCACTTGGAATAGTGCTGCTATGAACACTGGTGTGCAAATATCTTTTCGGATATGGGTTTTCAAGTCTTTGGGGTAAATACCCAGTAGAAAGATTGCTGGATCACATGGTAGATCAATTCTTAGTTTTTTGAGGAACCTCCATACTGTTTTCCATAGTGGCTGTACCAACTGGCAGTCCCACCAGCAGTGTATGAGGGTTCCTTTATCTCCACATCCTCTTCAACGTTTGTTACTACTTGTCCTGTTGATTACAGCCATTCTAACAGGTGTAAGATGGTATCTCATGGGGTATTGATTTGCATTTCCCTGATAGCTAGCGATGTTGATTTTTTCATATATCTGTTGGCCATTTGTATGTCCTCTAGGGAGAAGTGTCTGTTCAGATCCTCTGACCATATTTGATTGGATCGTTTGTTTTCTTGTTGTTATTGAGTTGTATGACTTCTTTCTATATTTTGGATATTAATCCCTTATCGGAGACATTGCTTGCAAATATATTTTCCCATTCAGAGGGCTGTCTCTTTATCTTGTTGATGATTTCTTTTGCTGAGAAGCTTTTTAGTTTGATGTAGTTCCCTTCATTTATTTTTGCTTTTAGTTCCCTTGCCTTTGAGGTCAAATTCATAAAATCCTCTTTAAGTCCAAGGTCCTTGAGTTTAGTTCCTATGTTTTCTTCTATGCATTTTATTGTTTCAGGTCTTATATTCAGGTCCTTAATCCATTTTGAGTTAATTTTGGTGTGTGGTAATAGACAACAGTCTAGTTTCATTCTTCTGCAGGTGGCTTTCCAGTTTTCCCAGCACCATTTATTGAAGAGGCTTTCCTTTCACCACTGCATGTTTTTGGCTTTTTCGTCAAAAATTATTTGCCCATATAAATATGGATTTACTTCTGGATTCTCCATTCTGCTCCATTGGTCTGTGAGTCTATTTTTCTTCCACTACCATGAGACAGTTTTGATTACTGTCACTTTGTAATATAATTTGAGGTTGGACAGAGTGATACCTCCAGCCTCGTTCTTTTTTCTCAGGATGGCTTTGGCAATCCGGGATCTTCATTATTAGAGTATAGGAATGCTATGGATTTTTGAACGTTGATTTTGTATCCAGAAACTTTACTGTATTTGCTTATTGTTTCTAGTAGTGTTCTTGTGTAGTCTTTAGGGTTTTTTATATGAAGAATTATGTCATCCACAAATAGTGACAGTTTGACTTCTTTGTTTCCTATTTGGATGCCGGCAGCTGATTTCTCAAAAGAAACCATGCAGGACAGAAGGGCTTAGCACAAACTATTCAACATGATGAAAACCCAGGATCTACAACCAAGAAATCTTTATCCAGCAAAGCTATCATTTAGAGTTGAAGGACAGATAAAGAGCTTCACAGACAAAACTAAGCTAAAGGAATTTATCAACACCAAGACAGTATTACCGGAAATGCTGTAGGGACTTCTTTAAGAAGAAAAAACATGTATTAAAAACGGGAATAAAAAATGGTAATAACTATATTCCTATCAATAAGTACCTCAAATGGAAAAGAATTAAGCACTCCAACCAAAAGATAAGAGTAGCTGAATGGATAAGAAAAGAAGACAGTTACTATGCTGCCTACAAGAGACTCACTTCAGATTAAAAGATATACCTAGACTAAAAGGGAGGGGATGGAAAAAAATATTGCCTTGAGGGTATTATGCCCTAGGAAAAAATATGCCCTAGAGGGTATTATGCTGAATGAAATGGTTTGGATAG